CTTTGGAAAGGAGTATAAATTGATAAAATAGACTTAAGAGAGCAGAGTTTTTTATCCAGTAAGAAAAAAAGAAAAGGCAGAGTCATATGTAGGAAAAGGTGTGATTCCTTGAAAAGAGTCAGGAACTCTTATGGTAGGTAAAAAGCGCTGGGGATCTGAGGAGAAGTAAATGTATCTGAATCCTTCTACTGGGTTAGCCAAAAAGTTCTTTGGAGTTCAAGTGAAAATAAAACATACATTTTTCATTTTCATGAAGAATTTTACTGAACGAAATATTCACTGTTTTGCTCCACTGCTTTCTGCTATTTTTCAGGCAACTTTTATAATTCCATCTTCCCAAAACATTTTATCATTTTGAGCAAACAACTCCTTTCCAGGGAATTGAATTTTTTTCCATTAAGAGAATTTTATAAAGACCGAAATAAATGGACATCCAAAGGTGTAGTGTCTGATGAATATGGCAGATGAATCAGAACTTCTCAGCCAAGCTATAACAGTTTTGCCTGGTCATCAAAGAAAGATACGATCTCATGCTATCCTGATGGACGATAATGCATTTTATGTCAGCTAATTCCAGATGCTTTTTTGTTTGAGTGCTGCTTTCAGTGGTCTAATTGGAACAGTAGCTGTTGGAATTGTTTGGTTTCCAGAAGGAGCTCATAATAGAAGCCACTCTTTCTAATCCCACCATATACACAACATCACCTTTTTTAGATGAAGGTAGGCCTTTGGTGTAGTGGTAGTTCATTTCACTTGCCCCATGATCCTTCCATTCCACGTTATTGTACAATGCCCACTTATCATTGCCCATCAGAATTTGTTGTAAAAACAGAACATTTTCATTATGTTTAAGTAGAGAATCGCATGTGGAAATTTGGTCAAGGATTTTTTCTGCTTAACTTACGTGGCACCCAAATATCAAAACAATGAAAATAACCAAGTTAGTGAAAATGATTTTCAAGATTTGGATATTTTGAATATGTTGGCTATCTCCCACGTGGTATAATGTTGATTGCTCTCAATTAATGGTTTGATACGATCACTATCAACTTCAACTTGTTTACCTCACCTTGGAGCATTGTCCAATGAGAAATCTCCAGCATGAAAATCTGCAAACCACTTTTGACATATTTGATCAGTCACAGCACCTTCTCCATACACTGCACAAATCTTTTTATGCATTTCTATTGTTTTCACCTTTCTTGAAATAATAAGCATAATATGTAGAAGATGTTTTTTACTTCCATCTTCAGTATTAAAATGGCTGCACAAAAATTCACTCATTTGGATAACACATTTTCAACTTTTAATTTTTTATATTTTTAATGAAGTATAACTGATTTACAAATACTGTGGTAGTTTCAGCTATATGGCATAGTGATTTGATTTTTTTATGTATTACAAAATGATCAACATAATAAGCTTGGTTACCATCTGTCACCATACATAGTTACTATAGTATTTTTAACTGTATTCCCTATGCTGTACATTGTATCCCTAGGTCTTATTTATTTTATAACTTCCAACCCTCTACCTCCTTCCATGGGACATGATCAGTTTGTTTTATCTGTATCTATAAGTCTGTTTATGTTTTTGGTTTGTTTGCACTCTGATATGACAGCTGTCACAATGCAATCTAACAAAATTGTTTTGAATGAAGTTAAAGACAACTAAATGCTGCCAGAAGTATCATATAGAAAAACCCAAATGAACTTTCTGGCCAACCCAATAGATAAGTAACATCCAAATACAAGTGTCTTTTGTGTGTATTTTATTACACAATTTTAAAGTGTTAGGGCTTAGCTACAAGAAAGTTTTGACACTGGAAGGCCACACATTTGCAACTAAGATACTTTCAGCTGTCATAAAAACATATTGGAGGAGGAAGTCAAGATGACAGTCAGGGACCCCAATTAGGAGATGATGAAAACTGTTCAGTGAGAAATGATGAGAGCTTCAACAAAGGCAAGGTCAGTCCTTATAAAGCAGAGAGGACAGATTGAACAGTTCTTTGGAAATTAAGATGGATAAGATTTAGTTACCTACTGGATAATGGAAAGAGAAGGGAGGCATCCAAGTGACTCTCAAGTGGGATGACTAAGTAAATTATAATTCACCAGGATGAGAAATAGAGGAGGTCATGTTCATGATTACAGACCAAGAGCAAAGAAGCAGGAAATAGGAAGAGATGAAAGAGAGAAGGAATGATAGATGAACAGTCTGCCTTGTATCCTTCCCGGCAAGGTGTGGAGAATCAGAGATCCAGTATAAAGGTAAAGTATGCAAAAGCCAGAATGAGAAAATGGCCATGCTTCAGCAAAGCCCCTCTGCATTATATGAAGTCTCCAATAACCTAGCACTGTGTTTCACAATTTGTCTACGTAATGAAACAAGAAAAAAAATCATTCTTCCATTATACTAACTAGCATTGCCTTCATTAAATGAAAATCAAGTCTCTAATTCAAACTGAGACACTGGAAAGAAAATATCCAGCAGAGTTAGCTTTAAGTGATTTCATAATTACCATATAAAGAACATAATAAATGATGTTGTGCTTAGTCGCTCAGTCATGTCCAGCTCTTTGTGACCCATTGGACTGTAGCCGACCAGGTTCCTCTGTCCATGGGATTTTTCAGGCATGAATACTGGAGTGGGTTGCCATTTCCTTCTCCAGGGAATAAAAGATGTTATAACATAATAATGCTATTTAAACAATAAATGAGATTCATGCTGTTTGTTCTTGTGAAAAGGGAAAGATTCATGTGAAAAGGGAAAGGCAATAGCATAGTATTAAAACACTTCAGTATACTATTACTCACGTAACTCTATAATTTTGGTTTTCTGAAATAGAGCTCAGAGGTGATACTTAGCCCATAATTGACTTTGAAAATCAAATATTACCCCAAAATGGGGATGTTACAAACAAGAGTTTCATTAAAATATGGTTTATCTCATTCTATCCTTTTCTATCAAGGCAAAATATCTGACATGTATTATTATTTTCTACTCATTATTCATAATATATTGTGACATATTGTAGACACTCAATAAGTATTTTTGGAAGGAATAACTATAACCTAGTCTTTTCCCCAGTGGATTTGAGAAAGTGACATGATTTGAGAAATCTGTTACTTGAGGAATAATTTATTGAGAAGATTTTGGTAGGTCTGACTGACATCATCCAATACTTGGAGAACTGACTTTTGAAATAGAGACTTGATTTATTCTATATTGCACCAGAAGTTAGGATTAGAACTAGTAGTGATACGAAGTTATCCAGAGGCAGAGTAGACTCAACATAGTCAAGAACTGTTCAGGGAATAATTGGGTTCCCAAGTGGCAGTTTTCCTTCTAGAATAGGAAGAACCCCATCAAAAAGAAAGTGCTAAAGCAGGTAAGAAGAGATCCGTGTTTGAGGGTGAGGCAGATTAGGTATCTTACATCCTCCAACTTTTTATCATGGTGCTATATTTCTTTTCCTCCTAAACACTGAATGAACATTCCATTTTGAATAATACTGAGTAATCCTACAAGGATAGCAATGTAAAGCCTACTAAACAGTATTTGGGTCAATGAATTTTATTCTGAAATGTTTGAGGAAGAACTGATATTTCACTTAAATGTCCTTATCACAAATGTAAGTGGTTTCAGTACTGCTTCTGTGTTGTGTACTAGAAAAACTGAATTGTGAGCTCACAGCTATTGATGGAGATTTAAGGGCTTTCTCACCTGACCACCCACCCAATGATTGAATCCCTACAAGAATATCCTATATAAGTGACAATCTATATAAAGCTTGAACACTTCCAAGTGTCTACAAACTCATTATCTTCCAAATCAGTTCATTCCTACATCGTTGTGCTTCCTACCCTGTTAAGTCTAAGAATACTTTTATATAAACCACTTTCATTGTCTTGACACTTATCACTAGATCACATTTTAGATTTTTAAAGATAAAATCAACAATCTATATTATTTTTAAGTAACCTAATCAATTAATACATAAAAATGCAATATATTGAAAATATAATTGGTAAATAATTTGCCCAAGTTCTCCTTTGTACAGTTTTGATTTGGAAAGTTGCTGCTACTGTTTCATGTTAAGAGCTTCTTTAATATGAATTTTCTCCCTAGTTAAATTTAATCTGTTGGATGATTAAACTTAAACTTAACTACATCTTTGCAGGAAGCCCTTATAAATGCTAAGCTGGTAAGAATCATCACTTACAAACTCTTAAGCAAACATCTAATTGTCAATGACATTATTTCAGAATTGGCTTGACATTTGAAGGACTACATAGTTTTAGTAATAGAATAGCATTCTATTATTAAGGGGATATAAGCATCCTAAAACATTATTGTCTAAATTTCATATTCTACTAAATTTCCATTTTTTAATGTGTGACTGTATTTTTTTCTTACCTGTGACAAAGCTTCAATACCATGCAAATAAAATGGTCTGGAAAAAATAAAAACTGGTAAAACATAGTCATCTTTAGCCATTTCAGCAATTCTCATAGCTTCTCTAACTCGATAATGAACAAATTTCAAAGCATTTAAATTTGACTTCAATATCTTATCCAAATACACTGAAGTATAAAGTGCTCTGCTTTTTTTCCATAGCCACTGGAGTCGGTCGTTGCGGAAAATTTCGTCACTCGGGCATTTACCTGTGTAGGTCTGTGGATTTATCCTATAATCATAATTGTAGCAGTCTGGATAGAGATAAAAGCCCCATAAACATTTTGGTCTCATTTCTAAAGCCAGTGTGAGAGTAGCATTCATAATACTCTTTCCAGCAGTTTCAAATTCCTTTTGGGCAACTGTTCTCACTTTCATTTCTGACCAATCAGGATGGTGGTTTCTAGTAAAGTCTAAAGAGTGGTTTTTATATATTACCCTATTACCCCAATTTCTGTCCCATTGTGGCTTCCAGCTTTCCCAGTCAATGATAACAAGGCCTTCTGATCTCCACCAAGGAAAAACTTTTGCAATGTCACCAGCGGCCTTCCTCAGGTGTGTAGGAAGGCTCATGTTCTGTGGTATCCCTCCATTAAAGGATTTTCCCTCTGGAGAGAAATAAGGATAATACCCTAATTCATTTGGATAAATTATGGCAATTGTCGGTCCACTCTGAGTCTCCAAAGGATTTGATATAATATTAAACAACTGAAGATTCAGATCCACACTGAAGAAATGCTGACACTGCATTGTTGGGGCAGCCCAGAAAATGTTGAAAGGTCTTTTCGTGATCACTGGAGGCATTGCTGGCTTCGGGGCTGAATGAGTGAACACGATCAAGAGCAGCAGCACTCCTAACCATGCCACCCAGGGGTTAAACATGGCTCATAGTTTTCACCATCATGTTAAGCAATCTCCTTAAAAATAAGAAGAGGAAGAAAAATTAAACATGATGGAGTCAAATGTTCCTTGAATCAGGTCAACTCATGGTAGCGTTTAAGCTACTCTTTGAGTTGTAGACTGACTTTTTAAAAGATTTAGGAGATTTATTGATAGGCCTAATTTATACTTTTAACAGGGAAGAAAAATGAGGTGATTTTTTTTAAAAAAAAACTTAAAAAGTTAAAAAAAAAAATCCAGTGAATAGAAACCAAAGTAAAAATTTTCACACAACTCCTCAGTCATGAAAACTCTGTCTGCAAGTTGTTCTACCTTTAATTTCCTATAATTTTGACTACATAACCATTTGGTACTTTTAACAAAAATTAAATGGAACAAAAAGAAATATCTAGTGATACAAACAGTAAATAATCCCTTGCTTACTATTTCAAATTCACTGGACTCAAAAGTGGGCTTGTTCATTTTTTGGTTTCTTTGTTTTTAAAAGATAGCAGTTATATTTGGAATTAGTACAGCTAAAATAGAAACAGGAAGAAATGGCATTTACCTGCTATTGATTATGGATTTTGTTGCTATCTTCTCTTGGTACATAAATTTAGAAACCATCTGATTGTTTAATTCCCTGGTTTCCCATGAAGAAGTTGGACTGCATTTTAACCAATCAGTTCCCAAATGAAACTTGGCTAAATCCCTTCTAAACAGACAGTTGAGCCAAAAACTGCCAAAGAATCTTCCCAGACAAGGCTGGTCTAGTAGTTATGCATTCCAGCCAATGAGATCTCACCATGAAAGCAGTGTGGTTGAAGTTATGTATCAAAATGATTTTATCATGAAGTTTTTTTTTTTAAATAAATGAATCACAAACTTGTCTATGATGTAATTAAATTCAGTGTCTTTTTAAGAGTTAAACCTCCTTTTTTTTTTTTTTTGGTAGTTTTTGCTGAATTTATCTAATATATTAAATGCAGGAAGAGGTACTGACCAAAGTCATATTTTAACTCTTGCAACACAGCATCCCAAGTTTATAAAGAAACTTGAGTAAGTCATTGCTTCTCTGTACATTGAAGATTTATTCATAGCTATGAATGATAATTTACTCTTTTAAATAAAGTTATTATTTTTATTATTTTTATTTTAAAATTATTTTTAAGTTATTATCTATAAAATTAATTTCATGAGGAATTTGTATCATGGCATCAGAAGAGTCCCTCAGTGACCAGAGATACTCTATTCTCTTCACCCTTCTCCAGCCATGGATCTTAAGGTGACTCCTCCCCTCAAAGAAAGAAAAGCCAATTTATTTCTTATCTTTGTCATCCAGGGAAAATGAAAGAGGACCCTCTATCCATAAATATTACTCTTTATCTCCCTCTTCTCATGACAGCATGTATGATATATATATTTAGTTAAATGTCATATTACATTAAATTTCTTAAAGACAACGGGCTATAAATCTAAAATATTGTGCTTTAGTAAAATCCAGTTATAAATTTTCTTTTCTAAAGTATTTTAATCATGCTATTTATATAAAAGTTATACCCCCTTTGTCACTAGTCTATGGAAACCTTATTAGTTTAGCATTATCTTCTTCACCAGTATACATTTTGTGACAAACTACTTAACAGTAACAAAATTGAGCATTATGAATTGTTCGGTTCAGTTCAGTTCAGTTCAACTGCTCAGTCATGTCCAACTCTTTGCGACCCCATGAACTGCAGCACGAAGGCCTCCCTGTCCATCACCAACTCCCGGAGTTTACCCAAACTCATGTCCATTGAGTCGGTGATGCCATCCAACCATCTCATCCTCTGTTGTCGTCTTCTCCTTCTACCCTCAATCTTTCCCAGCATCAGGATATTTTCAAATGAGTCAGCTCTTCACATCAAGTGGCCAAAGTATTTGAGTTTCAGCTTCAACATCAGTCCTTCCAATGAACACCCAGGACTGATCTCCTTTAGGATGGACTGGCTGGATCTCCTTGCAGTCCAAGGGACTCTCAAAAGTCTTCTCCAACACCACAGTTCAAAACCATCGATTCTTTTGCACTCAGCTTTCTTCACAGTCCAACTCTCACATCCATACATGGCCACTGGAAAAACCATAGCCTTGACTAGACAGACCTTTGTTGACAAAGTAATGTCTCTGCTTTTTAATATGCTGTCTAGGTTGGTCATAACTTTCCTTCCAAGGAGTAAGCGTCTTTTAATTTCATGGCTGCAATCACCATCTGCAGTGATTTTGGAGCCCAGAAAAATAAAGTCTGTCACTGTTTCCACTGTTTCCCCATCTATTTCCCATGAAGTGATGGGACCAGATGCCATGATCTTAGTTTTCCGAATGTTGAGATTGAAGCCAACTTTTTCACTCTCTTTCACTTTCATCAAGAGGCTGTTTAGTTCTTCATCATTTTCTGCCATAAGGGTTGATGTCATCTACATATCTGAGGTTATTGATATTTCTCCCGGCAATCTTGATTCCAGCTTGTGCTTCACCCAGCCCAGCGTTTCTCATGATGCACTCTGTATATAAGTTAAATAAGCAGGGTTACAATATACAGCCTTGATATACTCCTCTTCCTATTTGGAACCAGTCTGTTGTTCCATGTCCAGTTCTGACTGCTGCTTCCTGACCTGCATACAGGTTTCTCAAGAGGCAGGTCAGGTGGTCTGGTATTCCCATCTCTTTCAGAATTTTTCACAGTTTATTGTGATCCACACAGTTAAAGACTTTGGCATACTCAATAAGCAGAAATAGCTGTTTTTCTGGAACTCTCTTGCTTTTCAATGATCCAGCGGATGTTGGCATTTTGATCTCTGGTTCCTCTGCCTTTTCTTTATCCAGCTTGAACATCTGGAAGTTCATGGTTCACATATTGCTGAAGCCTGGCTTGGAGAATTTTGACTACTACTTTACTAGTGTGTGAGATGAGTGCAATTGTGCAGTAATTTGAGCATTCTTTGGCATTGCCTTTCCTTGGGATTGGAAAGAAAACTGACCTTTTCCAGTCCTGTGGCCACTGCTGAGTTTTCCTAATTTGCTGACATTTTGAGTGAAGCACTTTCACAGCATCATCTTTTAGGATTTGAAATAACTCAACTGGAATTCCATCACCTCCACTAGCTTTGTTCATAGTGATACTTCCCAAGGCCTATTTGACTTCACATTCCAGGATGTCTGGCTCTAGGTGAGTAATCAGACCTTCCTGATTATCTGGGTTGTGAAGATTTTTGTACAGATTTTCTGTGTATTCTTGCCAACTCTTCTTAATATCGTCTGCTTCTGTTAGGTCCATACAATTTCTGTCCTTTATTGAGCCCATCTTTGCATGAAATGTTCCTTTGGTATCTCTAAATTTCTTGAAGAGATCTCTAGTCTTTCCCATCCTATTGTTTTCCTCTATTTCTTTGCACTGATCACCAAGGAAGGCTTTCTTATCTCTCCTTGCTATTCTTTGGAACTCTGCATTCAAATAGGTATATCTTCCCTTTTCTCCTTTGCGTTTGGCTTCTCTTTTCACAGCTATTTATAAGCCCTACTCAGACAGCCATTTTTCTTTTTTGTATTTCTTTTTCTTGGGGATGGTCTTGATCCCTGCCTCCTATACAATGTCACGAACCTCCATCCATAGTTCATCAGGCACCCTATCAGATCTAGTCCCTTAAATCTATTTCTCACTTCCACTGTATAATCATAAGGGATTTTATTTAGGCCATGCCTGAATGGTCTAGTGGTTTTCCCCACTATCTTCAATTTAAGTATGAATTTGACAATAAGGAGTTCATGATCTGAGCCACAGTCAGCTTCCAGTCTTGTTTTTGCTGACTGTATACAACTGCTGCATCTTTGGCTGCAAAGAATATAATCAGTCTGATTTTGGTGTTGACCATCTGGTGATGTCCATGTGTAAAGTCTTCTCTTGTTTTCTTGGAAGACATTGCTATCACCAGTGCGTTCTCTTGGCAAAACTGTATTAGCCTTTGCCCTGCTTCATTCTACTCCAAAGCCAAATTTGCCTGTTACTCCAGGTGTTTCTTGACTTCATTCTTCTGCATTGCAGTCCTCTATAATGAAAAGAACTTATTTTTTTGTGTGTTAGTTCTAAAAGGTCTTGCAGGTCTTCATAGAACCATTCAACTTCAGCTTCTTCAGCATTACTGGCCGGGGCATAGACTTGGATTACCCTTATACTGAATGGTTTGTCTTGGAAATGAACAGAGATCATTCTCTCATTTTTGATATTGCATCCAAGTACTGCATTTCGGACTCTTTTGTTGACTATGATGGCTACTCCATTTCTTCTAAGGAATTCCTGCTCACAGTAGTAGATATAATGGTCATCTGAGTTAAATTCACCCATTCCAGTCCATCTTAGTTCACTGACTCCTAGAATGTCAACATTCACTCTTGCCATCTCCTCTTTGACCACTTCCAGTTTGCCTGATTCACGGCTCTAACACTCCAGGTTCCTATGCAATATTGCTCTTTACAGCATCAGATCTTTCTTCTATCACCAGTCACATCCACAACTGGGTGTTGTTTTTGTTTTGGCTCCACCCCTTCATTCTTTATGAATTGTATGAATTTGTAAATGTAATTATTTCCCCAGGCTCTTTAGTAAAATTTTATTCTATGTTCTAGCCATTTTTATTACTTAGAATATAAAACTTGATTTCAATTTTCTGACATTATATATATATATATACATATATATATATACACACACACACACACACACACATTTTAAAACGTACATATGTACACTTGATCTTTTTAATAAACAAATCTTGATTGAGTATTGGATATGTTTCAGGAAGAGGGCCAGGTCTAGGGATGCAGTGGCAAAACGAACATAATTCTACACATTGCAAAAATTTGCAGATGCCTAAATCTAAGCTGCAATACTATCAAACTCCCAGTAGATAACATAGGAGAAAATCTAGACGACCATGGTCATGACAGTGACTTTTTAGATACAACTCCAA